CCCTGAACAGTTTTAGTTGCAAGTTCATCTGTTTTTTAAATGTTACTACTTGTTTTAAAATGTTCAGAGAACATTCAGAAATAACGTTCCCATAATGTTTGCAAAATTATAAACTGAAATGTTCCCTTCACTTACCAAAAAGTAGTTTACTTCAAGTTTTTTTTAGTAAGTATACTTAAGTAAAGTTCAAGTATATTTTTAAGTATACTTTATGTAGTAAGTATACAAATATCAGTGTACTAGTTTAATACTTGTAAGTGTACTATTTCAATACTCCTTGGGACTAAATTGGCCCACTTTCTAGTATATAAAAGTATACTTTTAAGCATACTTTAAGTATAACAGTAGTAAACTTCCAAAGCTTGACAGTTATTATTACCTCTTCGTTGGTCGACATTTTACTCCATAATGTTACATAGTTTTGATACCGTTTTTCATTTCAGGCGAGGCGCATCTCAAACGCACCTGTTGGCATGATTGAGAGCAAAGGTCAGAGGTCACGGGCCTACGGCAGGGTGTGGCCAAGTAAAAAATAAAACATCTCCAAAAAATCGCTAGTTCTATTTAAATATAGCTCAAATAGCTCCTTGTCGCATAATTTTTTTAAAAAGTCGCAGCTACAATGAGAAAGTAGCTAAATTTGGCGACAAAATCCCCAAATTGGCAACACTGCTTCACTTGTGTTTTTTGGAAATTCTGTGCAGAAGATGTGTACTAGCGCCCTCTACTGTAAAACATGGAGTCTAGGAACACAAGTATAGCTAAAATATATTTAGACTTTTTCTAAGTATAAGTCAAGTACACTTAAATGTCATTTTAAGTATATTTCTGAGAAGTACATAAAGCCCATTTCTGAGAAGTACATAAAAAGTAGACTAAAAGAATACTTTCCTATTTTTTATTTAAAAGAAGTATACTAATAGCACACTTGAATAAACTTCTTTTTCGTAAGGATTACCAAAAAAAAAATTCTAATACATTTAAAAATCTATGAATTTTAATTGTTTAGATAACGTTTAGAAATAATGATTTTATAACTCAATGGAAACGTTGGGTTCATTGACATTATGGCTCCATATCGCTCTAAGATCCTCATGTGATCAAAACAAACCATTAGCATTTTAAATGGGTATAGTATAAGAATCCTGTTGAAGAAAAATGTTGAAATGGCTCACTGCTGGCGATGGCTTGGGTGAAATGAAATAGCCTATCCAAGGCCTCCATAAATGCAATGTTTGAATGGGGGGCGTTCAGAAGAACCTGTTTCATGGATTTGGACTGTTGAATAAGTACTACAGTTAATCAGTGCGCATTGTTTTGCATTGAAAAAAGGGTGCATTTTACCTTGATTGTCACTCATATGTGTGAATGTCATCTTAATGGTGCTTTGTGTTTTACTTCCTGCTATGGAGTGCTTTATATTTTTCTGACTGCCAATAAAATGTATAAAGGAGAATCTAAAACCCATCTTCACAAAATATATTTTAATTTAACTTGTAAATCTTATCAGGAACCTGACAAGGAGATACGTTAAATTTCTCAGGTAATTCCACAGCACCTACAATAACTTATATTCTATTCACAAGTACACTTTTTTATTTAACAAAATCTTTTTTTTGTGCTAAAATGTATTGAAATCGACAGTATACAACAATAAACCCCATTAATTCACACATTTCTTGTCAGTCACTTTGCTAAGAAAAACTTTTTTAAATGTACATGAAAGCAAATGCAAAATGGAAGAGTCTTCCCATGTGTGATGAAACACCATAGCAACAACAGAAATCATCTTATCGTAGACATTGTTGTTCACGTTAAAGGTTATTCTAATACAATCACACTGCAAATGCCACAAGTCTCATGAGCTAAAAGAGCAAAGTGAACAGAGGACAACAAACAAACTCTTTGCAGCAAGTGGAAAGTTTATTTAAAGAGAATAAAACATCTCATATGGTGAGAGGGATGACATTTTCTATTAGAGAGGGAATTTAGAAGATCTCTTCATCCAATATAATTGTTGGCGCACAAAAGAGTCTTTAAACAGTGTCGTCGTCATATTTAATAACATCCTCTGTCTGAAAAAGAAAACATGAGTTTTAATCAAACCTGATTTTAATAACTGTATTAAAGTCTATTAATTAATTCAAACGACCTGCAACCTGATCTGAGATCTGCTTGTCCTGGTGATGAACTGTTGGGACGAAAATTCTGTCAACATTTCTTCTGTTTAACACAAAACCATTGACTTCCATAGCCAGCGTAATAATCAAGGAACTTTGCTGCCGTACCATGGGTGCAGCAGGCGCTATGATATTACGCAGTGTTCCTTTAAATGTGGACACATGTGCAAAGGCACGGGGTGGGGGGGGTTGCAGGTGGTAACGCTGTGCCACTATTTGCTGAAAACAAGAGTGCTGGAATCTACAAAACCACTTTTTCTGAGAGCG